ATATATATATATATATATATATATATATATATATATATATATATTGGTTCAGGTGAGAATGCAATCTAATGAAAGAAATAAGAATGAATCTGGTGCATTAGATTGGGAGATCTAAGGGTTAGGATTGCATCAAAATTAGGTGCACCAAGATGGTTTGAAAATGCATCATGTCGAAATGCACCATAATCATTTGAAAATGCACTATCTCAAAATTTGAGTGCAGAATGCAATCTGAGCCGCACGATGCATCAGATCCAAAGGCCAGATTTTATTCTTATTTCTTTCACCAAGGTGCATTCTCACTTGAACCAGCCCATATATATATATATATATATATATATATATATATATATATATATATATATATATGTATGTATGTATGTATGTATGTATGTATGTATGTATGTATGTATGTATGTATGGATGTATGTATGTATGTATTTATGTATGTATGTATGTATATATTTTAAATCTTGGAGGAAACCATCAAACTCGATGGGGTAAGGACGAGGAAACCCTTACCAAATAGATTAAAAGGAAAGAAATTTACAACGAAAAAGAGAGCATATAGCCCAAAAAACCCAACAAAGAGATAGAAAAAAAATCAAAAGTTAAGGACTAAGCATCCATTTCAGCCCAAGATCCTCAGCTTCTGTCCATTTAATCGTCCTCCTAACCTTCTTGTTGCTCCAAATCCATGATTGCATGAGGTTAAAGATATCCATAATCACCACTTTTGCTTCCACCTTCCTCCCATCGTGCTTAATTTTATTATGCCTTTTCTAAAGACTCCATAATATCCAGCCCTGGAGAACGAGCTTCAACATGCCCTTAAGGGTTTTTTTGTCATGAGTGCACCACCACTCTATGAGATCTTGAGTGATAGTTATGTTCGATCTCAACTTTGGCCCTGCTAGAAGAATTTCAAAAAAAACTCCATATTTTTTTAACACTTTTGATTTTTTTTAAAAAAAAATTAAAATCAAAGGAAGGGATGCTGACTAGATTTTGATCGCTGACAGCTGCCTGCCGCCACTCCTGCCACCACCGCTGCCAGCTACCGCCGACACATGCCGCCGCCTGCAGTCGCCGGTCACCTGACGCGGTCGCTGTCCTTCCGCCGTCGGCCACCGCCACTTGCCGCCACCTGCCACCACTGGTTGCCAGACGCCGCGGCTGACCGGTGGTTGACCGGTTGCTATTTTGTTTTTAATAAATTTTTTAATTTTTAAATTTTTTTTTAAAAAGTGAGTTGTGGTGTTCAATAATGTTTAAAGCAAAGCTCACCACTTTGAATACCAAAACTCACTTTTTTTTTTAAATTTTGAAAATTAAAAAATTAACTAAAAATAAAATAGCAACATCGGTCAACCACCGGTCAACGGCAGTGGCAGGCGGCGGAGCAGCGGCGGCCGAAGGCGGCACGGCGGCGGCGGCCAGCGACGGAGGCCGGCAGGGGTCCCCGGAGTCCAGCGGTGGCGGCCGGAGTCCGGCGGTGGCGACCGACGGCAGGCGGCAGTCAATGTTGGCGGTCAACGGTCAAAGTCTAGTCAGCACCCTTCCTTTGATTTTATTTTTTCAACAAAAAATTAAAGTGTTAAAAAAATATGGTCAGCTTTGCCTTACAGTTTGGTGAGCTTTGTAGTTATCTTTGGTGAGCTTTGCGGTGGCTAGTGGTGAGCTTTGCGTCATCTGACCGAAGCATGTCATATCAACCATAAGGTGTCATCTCACTGGAGTCAATCCCTATATATATATATATATATATATATATATATATATATATGTATGTATGTATGTATGTATGTATGTATGTATGTATGTATGTATGTATGTATGTATGTATGTATGTATGTATGTATGTATGTATGTATGTATGTGATGGGTGTATTCCACCCATGACCGGTCAACACGAGAAGACCGAATAATTGACCGGACAAAAAAGTCAAGCTTGAAAGAGATAAATGAATCGACAGTAAGAGGGTAGAGGGCTGACCAAAAAGTTGACCGGTATACTTCGAATAGTATACCGGTCTAACTATGTCGGCGTCTAATTCATCCTTTGAAGTTAGCAAATCCAACCCTCAAGAACCTGCCGGTGCAGTTTTAGAAGATTGGAGAGTGTCGGCAGGAAGAATCCAAAAGGACTTGGACTGTAGTGGCTGGCATTACCGAGGAATCAATGGAGATGCTGAAGGAATGTTTCCAATCCAGAACGTGACAAGGACACGATCCCCCTCACAAGATGACAAAGCAGTTCAAGGACGAAGCCAGTCACCTCAGCAGCATGCCTCCACGTGGGTGCACGTGGACCTGTCCCTCTTTGCATAGTATAAATACGGCTGTAGACCTCTTAGAAGGGGCTCCGAATTCATTTCTCTCTAAACTCCCTTGTAAAAGCACCCGTGCATTCTCTGTTATAATATAAATTTGGCTACAAGTGTTCCACCTAAAGTCCTACCAGTGACTGCGTGTTTTTACCTTTCTTACTTTACCAAATCAAGCAAACTATTCTAGACCCGGTCTAGTATAGTTTGACCGGTCAAGTAATTTACACCATCATTTTGGCGCCAACCGTGGGACCGTTAAGGTTTCTTCTCCTCTAAACACAAACCTACCCACAAAAACACCACTCAAAATGTCTTCAAGCCAACAAATCAATGCTACTTCCGCTCAGGTGCAAGCCACCAATGAAGGTACCAGCATCCCCATGGCTGCTACCCTACCGGCCATTTCTACTCCGGTTTTGTCGTTGGGTCTAAGTTCGGTCCCAACACCCAGCATGGTCAGCCCATTCACGACCCCTGTCCCTTCCGCTGGACCAAGGGTCACATTCCCACCAAGCATGACTCGGTTCATGAACGATCCGGCCAACTTTCAGGCCATCCAGGGCTTTGGCCAGGTCATGGCCATGTGCCAACAGAATGGGGGGATGCCTTTTCTCCCTGGTATGTTCCCGTTCGCTCTTCCAGGCGCGGGAACCATGCCCCAACAAGCTCCAATGGCGGTGTCTCCCTTCCAGACGCTGGTGCCGTAGCCATCACCTTTCCAGCTGCAGTTGGTCAGCACCATAGCCCCTGTCCACCTGACTGGCGCGCTTAACGCTGCAGGGCCGTCGCGTCCCCCGCAAGGTACGAATCCACAGACTACCCCTGATGGTCACTGCGTCTCAGTTGAGAGCAGAGGCGAGGAGTGGGAAATTCCGAGGGCCTAGAAGAAAAAGAAGGGGAAAGCCGTCCGGCCAAAGGTCAATATCGACGCCCCTAGATTCACCGGGAAGGAAGATCCAGAAATCCATCTGGACACCTTCAACCAAAGTACAACCATGAACGGCTGCACAGACGAAGAAAAGTGTCTGCTTTTCTTCCAAACCCTGCGGAATCGAGCTACTGAATAGTTCAACAAACTTCGCCCAGGAAGTATTGATTCGTTCAGTGACTTGGCCTAAAAATTCTAGGCCAAGTTCCAAGAGAACTGTACTAAGAGGAAGAAATTCACATATCTTAGTACAGCCGGGCAGAGGGAATCTGAGAACCTCACTCAGTTCCTTACTCGGTGGAAGGAAGAGGCAGACAAGGTGGAAGAGATGGATGACAAGATCGTCTTATCCCTTCTCTTGAATGGCTTACGTATCGGGGAACTATACAAGGAGTTCTGCCGGAAACCCCCGGCCACGTACCAAGAGGCCTACCACACTGCATGGGAGTTTGCTGAGGCTAAAATTCAACTCTAGGCGAAGAAGGAAGCTGACCATGGTTTCAAACCCAAGCCAGTGCAAGTCAAGAAGGAAGAAGCACCGGTACCCAGCCGGCCAAGGAATCACTATGACCCGATCATTTGTATGGTCAATACGGAAGAATGCCAAGAGATCAGAAAAGCACCGGTCATTCCTCTGGAAAACCCTACCGATCAAGCAGGACGACAATAGTTGGGCACCTATTGTTCATACCATAGGTCAGATTCCCATAACACTTCCGAATGCAAGAGTGTTAAGGGAGTCATCCGGAAAATGATAGACAGCGGGAAGCTGGGCAAAGATTATTTGTAGAAAGCCCAGGAGAAGAGCCACCAATGGGTCAGACCAGCAACCCAGGGAAATGACCGGGAAAATGACTGACGAAGGAATAACCGGCAAAGAGAGCAACAACCTGCTCCTGAGAAGGAACACATAGGCATGATATTCGGCGGACCTGAAGGTGGAGATTCGGCCGCGCAACGGAAGAATTGGGTCTGCAGCATTTACGTTGGTGAAGTAAGTGCTGAACCGGCCATGCGTAAGCATACCAGGAGGGAACCTATCGTCTTTACTGACCGGGACCTCCCCCTACCGGTGAAGATCATAATGATCCTTTGGTTATTACCATGGACATTAATGGGGTGGATGTTGCCCGGGTACTTGTTGACACCGGTAGCAGTGTCAACATCTTGTACCTGGAAACTTTCCAAAAACTTAAGTTGTGTCGGACACAACTTGAACCCCTCAAAACCCCTCTATTAGGCTTCACGGGAGATACAATGGAAGCTGAAGGATCCATAGTTCTACCGGTCGAACTAGGATCGGGTGAAAAAATCGTATAGAAGAAGATGCGGTTCATAGTTGTGGACATTAAATGCGTCCACAACGAAATCCTTGGAAGACCGGGCATCAATAAGGTCGGGGCGGTGATTTCCATGCCGCACCTGTGCATGAAGTTCCACACTCCAGGTGGTGTGGGTGAAGTGAAGGGCGACCAGAGAAACGCCCGGGAGTGCTATGCCCGGGCAGTAAAGAAGATGACCAAGGGGGTCAACCTCATCTCCCAGGAAATCACCAAGGGAGAAACCCGGGAGAAGCTGGAGCCCGAAGCCGAGACGGTGGAGATCGAACGCGCGATTCTTCAAGGATGATCAGAATTGGAGCAAATCTCTCAGAAGATCTCAAGGCAGAGATTACACGTGTTCTACAAGAATACGCGGGCATATTTGCATGGAGCGTGGCAGATATGCCCGGAGTTAACCGTTCAATCATCTGTCACCGGCTGGCAGTGAGGGATGGAAGTCGACCGGTACGCCAGAAGAAGAGGTACCTGGCGAGTGACTGGCGAGACTTCGTCAAGAAGGAGGTGAAGGACCTCCTCAGGGTTGGTCACATCCAAGAAGTCAAATACCCAGATTGGCTGGCCAACGTTGTCCTTGCTCTTAAGGGCGACACGTGGAGAATGTTTGTGGGTTACACGGACTTGAACAAGGCTTGTCCGATGGATTCATACCCCCTCCCCAGTCCAGATCAAATGGTGGACGAAACCGCGGGGTGCGAACTCCTAAGTTTCATGGATGCCTTCAAGGGCTACCACCAGATATACATGGCCAAGCAAGATGAGGAGAAAACGTCATTCCTCACACCCGAAGGAACCTACTGCTACCGGGTAATGGCGTTTGGCTTGAAGAACTCAGGAGCAACCTACCAGTGCATGGTGAACAAACTCTTCAAGCCACTGTTGGGAAAGACCATGGAGGCATACATCGATGACATGCTGATAAAAAGCCAGGTATCTCTCAACCACCCGGCGGATATGCGTGCCACGTTTGATATCATGGCGAGATACAACCTCCGATCGAATCCTAAGAAATGCGTCTTTGCGGTTCGCATCGGGAAGTTCCTGGGATTCATGGTGACCAAGAGAGGAATAGAGCCCAACCCAGAAAAAATCCGGTCTATCACCAAGATGCAAGCCCCTACCTCGGTTAGGGATGTGCAAAAGTTGACCGGTCGTCTAGCTAAGAGATCCCTGCCTTTCTTCAAAGTCCTGAAGAAGGCCAACACATTCGCGTGGGATGAAGACTGCCAAAGGGCATTTGAGGAGCTGAAAGAGTACTTAGTGTCAGATATTGTATTGTCCAAACCCGAACCGGGTGAAACTTTGTATCTGTACCTGGGAATTTCCCCAAATGCTGTAAGCTCCGTTTTAATAAGAGATGATGGGGCACAAAAGCCCATTTATTACGTGAGCAAAGCACTAAATAGAGCTGAAAGTAGATATACGGTGATGGAGAACACTGCATATGCACTTTTCATCTCCGCGAAAAAGCTAACATCCTACTTCCAAGCTCACCCGATTGAAGTCTTGACTGACAAACCATTGGGTGCGGTATTGCGGAATTCAACATCCTCCGGGAGGATGGTGAAGTGGGCTATGATGTTAACTCAATTCAACATTGAGTATCGGCCAAGGTCAGCAATCAAGGGACAGGCCCTCGCAGATTTCCTGGTAGAAATGACAGGTCTAACTCCAGATCTACCGGTCAACAAGCCCACTGAGCAATGGTGAGAGATGGCAGTAGACGGGGCATCTGGTCCTAAGGGATACGGGGGTGGTGTAGTGTTTACCACTCTAGAAGGGTTCAAAATTTACCATGCACTCGTCTTCAACTTCAAATTGACAAACAACGAGGCAGAATATGAAGCTCTGCCGGGAGGGCTTAGACTTGCCCAAGCCCTGAAAATCAACCGGGTCAGTATCAAATCTGACTCCAGTCTGATCGTTGGGCAAGTGACCGGTACCATGGAAGCCAGGGAGGGACGAATGGCGCAATACAAGGACCTGGTGCTTGCTTTGTTGAAAGACTTCGAGGAATTCAGGATCGCCCAAATTCCCTGGGCGGAGAACGCGGATGCAGACCTTCTCTCCAAGTTGACGCAGTATGCCCCTGAGCATGTTTCAAAACTTGCCCGGGTGGAAATCTTGGATCGAGCCAGCATCGAGAAACTGGAAGTTGCGGCAATAACAGCAGCAGACCAATCTGACCGGCCAAACCTGGTCGGGGCGGATGACCATTGGATGTATGATCTGATGGAATATTTGATGGATGAGATCTTGCCAGAGCAAGAAGACCGGGCAAGAAAAGTGAAGCTCAGGGCACCCTGATTCCAGGTTCTTGATGGAAAACTGTATAAAAGGGCATTTGGGGGGCCACTCCTGAGATGTCTAACCAACCGGGAGGCTGAGCGAGTCATAGCGGAGGTCCACGAAGGCGTATGCGCGGCGCATCAAATGTCTCGTATGCTTTCCCAATGCATCATCCTATTGGGGTATTACTGGCCAACAATTGTCCAGCATTACCACGCAGTAGTGTAAGAAATTCATTTGGAAGAATATCATCACGAGGTTTGGAGCTCCCATGAACCTAATCACCGACAACGGCCCACAATTCCGAAATCCAAGATTCACCGAATACTTGGAGGGCTTCAGGATCAAGCACAATCGCTCTTCGGTGACGCACCCCCAAGGAAATGGCCAAGTCGAAAATGCCAACCGAACAATTGTGGATGGTCTAAAGAAACGGCTGGGAGAAGCAGGAAACAAATGGCTAGAAGAGCTTTCGCACATTATATGGGCGTTCCGGGTAACACCCACGAGGGCTCATGAGGTAACGCCCGGGGACCTACCGGTTAGAAACTCTGGATGGTGTACTGGTAGAAAGAACTTGGAATTCACATCATCTTTGAAAGTTCTACAAATGATTGTAATACTAGGCAAGAACTACTTCTATTATCAATCGAATTGAGGAAATTCAATACTATGTTTGGGAGCAGCAGAATTGATAGATCGAACCTATCCTGGGAGGGCTTCCTGGGTGGATCGAATCCACTTGGATATGCCAACTGAGACACAGGCCCGGACCTGGTACGCTGGTTACTACACCGGTCTTGCTCAGTATAATAGAAAAAATATTAAAACCCGGAAGAAGGGCCCCGGAAGAGGGGTATGCCTGCAAGAGGGCTGGACCTGGAAGAAGGTTCAAACCGTACTTACACGGGCCCACGAGGTTTGACCGGTATCGGGGAATCAACTGGTACCATCAAATTGACTGGGGACTAAAAGACGCCCATTAAAAGAAATAGAAAGGGATCTTCCACCGTGGTGCATCCTATTTCCCCCTTCTCAGGGAAGACTTGAACGGGGGGTGAGCTAGGGCCTCCCCGGGATGGTAGAAATTAAAGGGCCATTAAAAGACTTAATCACCCGGAAGAGGGAGCCCTGGAAGAAGGGTGCATTTGGACCTTGGAGAGGGTTCGAAACCATTCGACATGGTTAAATCTCCAGTATTCTTACCGGTTAAGGATACTTCAAGAAATTACTAGTTTACACGTGCTTCCATCTACAACCTACCGGTGAAATAAAGAAAAAAAAGAATACCCCGGTTGGGTATTGATACAACAGAACTTTGAAAGCCCTACGAGACAAAGCGTTTGACCGGTCAGACCGTGAAGTGGGTTCTTACCGGTCAAACTATACTTGATCGAAGAAAAGGTAGACTGCCAAAAAGGAAGGTATCCAAAAGCGAAAATTGGAGTTCGACCAGTCAACATTATTCAAGTTGATCTGGGAGATAAAGTTACCGAAGAGAACGTTGAAGTTCTAGCGGTCAAAAGCAATCAGATGAATGAGAAGGGATTGATTTCTGTACCGGTTAGATATCCTATGATGGCAAAATATCAATCAAGGAGCAAGTAGATATGGAAGATTAACTGGTAAGAAAATAAAACATGGCATTCAAACAGAATGAGAATGTAAGGTGTTTACAGATACACCGGGCATCCCCGGGGAAATAGCGAGTTGTTAAAGTTTTACAAAATATAACAACCGGGCGCAGCCGAGAAGTTTACTCGAGAGGGAAGGGAGGTGCAGGCTCTTCATCTGGAATAGGGGCCAGGCCATATAATTCAGCATTGAAGTTTTGATCGCGTTCAGCCAGGATCGCATGCGTGGCCTCCCGGTAATCATATCCTTTCCTTGCTCCTCCCGGTAAAGAAGCTTGAAGCCTTCCATCGTCCTTTCTTCAGAAGAAGTGAGAACCCGGGCAGCTTCCACCAGATTGTTCTCCATCCATTGCTTGGCTTTGACGGGGAACTCTCGCTCCTTCAACTCCATGTCTTCCATCAGCTTCAGGTTCTCCTCCTTCAATCGGAGGATCTCAACCTCTGCCTCCCCGGCCATCCTAGAGAGATTGGCCACCTCATCAAGCTGACGGGACGTCAATCCTTGTAGCTCCCGGTTGTGGGCCTCAGCCCTCTTTAGCTTCTCCTCGAGTTTAGATGACCGGGAAGGAGAGCCATCGGAGAGCTGCTCAAGGGCGTCAGGTCCAACTTCACCCATCTGTGAAACAAAAGTATATCGGTTAGTACAAACAAGCAAGTGGTAAAATTGAAAATATTGTATTGGTCGAAGGTTACCTCTTTCAGCTTGAGAGTCATCTTGACCCAAAGCTCCTCCAGCGATTCGGTACCCGGGGCGTTTTCTCCCCTTTTTCTCTTTGCTGATGGATGAGTGGAGGCGACCTTCTTCGATCGGGTCTTCCCCTTCCCTTTAGGAGGAGGATTCGCCGTGGTCGTCCCGGTCTGACCGGCCTCTCCGGTTAGAGGATATTCATCCTCGGAGTGAACCTCAACGGTCTCCTGACGGACCGGGATGGTCTTCGCAAAAGAGGTCTGCGGGCCAGCAGAAGAAGACACGCCGGTCTTCTTGGGGATGTTGAAAAATCAAAAGATAAGTGCTAAGAGTAGTACCGGTACAGATTAAGGAAGAAGTGGAACGAATATTACCTGGGTGACTCGGGCCTCCAACCTCCGCAGTGTTTCCCGGGGAGGGTACCCCGTGCCCCGCTTCATGGGCCTGGGAGGTACCCTCGCCACCCGGTTGGATGCGCCAGCCCAGCTTCCATAGTGGTACATCTTCCCGGTGAAGGGATCCCCCCTGAGAAGCTTTTCCAGACTCTCTTCCAAGTCTGGGGCGGTGGCCGGTTCGGTAAACTCGTGTTTGAGGACATTGTCACTCCACTTCAAACCGGACAGGAGAGTGACGGAAGAGGGAAATTTTATAAATAAAAATTTTTCCTTCCACAAATGGTTGCTTTGTGGAAGGTCAGAGATAAATTTGCGATTGTTTCGCCCCTTGAAATAGACGAAACCTTCGCAACCCGATTTACCGGGACGAACCTCAAACATAAAGAGGAAGAGACGAAGAGTGGGGTCGATGCGAAGGTGGGTGCAGATGTTTACAAAAGAATTAAGCAGCCGGTGAGCGTTGGGTGTGATCTGCCCGGGAAGGATCCTAAAGTAGTGACACAGCTCAACCAAGAGGGGGCGAAGAGGAAAAAGGATACCACCCTCTAAAGAAGTGATATGAAAACATATCCTATCCTCCCGGTGAGGTTCGATAATATTGGGCCAATTCTCATCATACTCGAGAACATACCCCTCCGGGAGATTCCTACGGGCTTTGTTCAGAGCTATTTTGGAGACATGGGAGTAGATGTCTGAAACGTAAAAAGTGGGAAGAGGAGAGTAATCGGCTGCCTCCAACCTTTCCTCCCACTGCAGCCAGGGCTCAGTGTCCGGGTCATAGGGAGCTGGTTGGCCGTCAAGCGGTTCATCCCCCTCCGTGGACATTTGACCGGGCATCTGATTGACCGGCTCCGGCTCAGGGATAGAAGGATTTGGGACCGGTCGGGGTTCGAAATCGGAAGAATAGTACCCGGTGGAAGAGGAGGAGGTAGAATCCTCAGATGAGAAGTCATCTGAGGACGAAATCCTATGACTACCTAGGGAAGACATAACAGTGAAAAGAAATAGAAGAAAGAGGGAGAGCTTACTTGGCTCGGAGGGCTGGAAAGCTAAAACTGGGAATTTAACCGGTGGAACTCAGAAGAATCGTGCGAGAGTAAGTGAAGGAATGAAAGGGTTGGAAGCCTTTATATAGGCGAGGAGAGAGGGGAATGAAAGGGTTGGAAGCCTTTATATAGGCGAGAGAGAGAGAGTAAGTGAAGGAATGAAAGGCTTCACCAGGGCGCGCCGCGTCAGGCGGCGCCATCATTGCGCATGGGAAGACGAAAGGACGCAGGTTTGACTCCATCCAGCAGACCACACGTGTCAAAACTGTTACTTTTTGAATTTCGAATTCAAAAATTTTGAGCGGGAAAGGACAAAAATTCGAATTTTGAACCCATTTCTCAGATTTTTACTTCCCGCTTATGACAAAATTGCATAACCGAGAAGTGGATGGCTTGTTGATGGGTGTATTCCACCCATGACCGGTGAACAAGAGAAGACCGAATAATCGACCGGTCAAAAAAGTCAAGCTTGAAAGAGAGAAATGAATCGACAGTAAGAGGGTAGAGGGCTGACCAAAAAGTTGACCGGTATACTTCGAATAGTATACCGGTCTAACTATGTCGGCGTCTAGTTCATCCTTTGAAGTTAGCAAATACAACCCTCAAGAACCTGCCGGTGCAGTTTTAGTAGGTTGGAGAGTGTCGGCAGGAAGAGTCCAAAAGGACTTGGACTGTAGTGGCTGACATTACTGAGGAATCAATGGAGATGCTGAAGGAATGTTTCCAAGCCAGAACGCGACAAGGACACGATCCCCCTCACAAGATGACAAAGCAATTCAAGGACGAAGCCAGTCACCTCGGCAGCATGCCTCCACGTGGGTGCACGTGGTCCTGTCCCCCTTTGCATAGTATAAATACGGCTGTAGACCTCTCAGAAGGGGGATCCGAATTCATTTCTCTCTAAACTCCCTTGTAAAAGCACCCGTGCATTCTCTGTTATAATATAAATTGGGCTACAGGTGTTCCACTTAAAGTCCTACCGGTCACTCTGCGTGTTTTTACTTTTATTACTTTACCAAATCAAGCAAACTATTCTAGACCCGGTCTAGTATAGTTTGACCGGTCAAGTAATTACACCATCAGTATGTATATATGTGTGTGTGTGTGTGTTTATATATATATATGTATGTATGTATGTATATATGTGTATATGTATGTATGTATGTATGTATGTATGTATGTATGTATGTATGTATGTATGTATGTATGTATGTATGTATGTATGTATGTATCGGTCCAAAAATCTCATAAAGGGTGAGGAAGCTCCTTGTGCGCGGTGGGCACGGGTCTAGCGTTCTTGGCCGACTGAGTCACCATGATTTACATCCTCCATCATTCCTGTCGGGCAAGGGGTGGGGGCGCCTGGGGTGGGCGATTCCACCTTTTGGACCGTATGTATGTATGTATGTATGTATGTATGTATGTATGTATGTATGTATGTATGTATGTATGTATGTATGTATGTATGTATGTATGTATGTATGTATGTATGTATGTATGTATGTATGTATGTATGTATGTATGTATGTATGTATGTATATATATATATATATATATATATATATATATATATATATATAGGATATTGAATAGATATATTATGATAGGCAAGTTCATAATTAGGACAGTTAAAAGAGAGATTTTAATTAAAATTGAAAATATTTTTTGGGACAAATGAATAGTAAAAGTGGGAATATTTTTTCAGGACGAATGGGGTATTATAAATCATGATTTGCACAAATTATTCATGCACCGGGATTAGGAGAGATAAGGGGATAAAAACTATTAATTTTACGAACGATCCACCTTAATTGCCCAATGTCGTAATATGATACTCCGTATTAGGTTCTAACATCAAAAGAACCTAGCAAAATGTAGCTATAACACAAAGAAAATGCTCAATTGCCGTATAAAGTTGTACAAACTTTTAAATCTAGAGATCAATAACAATGTCAATTCGGCATTAGATCCCCCCATATAATATAAAAGAATTCAGTTTTGAGGTTCGCTAATATCACATGGTCAGTAAGCCATAAGGATATCTAGAACTACACCAAGTGTACAACAAAACATGTATAGGGGCCCTGCATAAAACTACCATTGCTTCCTTGCACCAATTGGAATTGAATTAGATCCAGAAACCGAGCGTTGGTTCCCAAAGCCTCCCCGTCCTCTAGAGCGAAAGCTGCTGCCTGTAGCTGAGAGATAAAATAACCCTTCCACTTAGCCCCATGACTCATTAGCATTCATGACATACGCAACAATGCCGGAAAAACACTAAACGGAGTGCACAACATACCTCCAAAGCTGAGACTACCTGAATGTGCCATTGCAGCCAACTGAGGAGGAATAATTTGTTCTGCTTGTTGAAGGATCTTAACAAGCTCTCTAGCGAACTTTGCATTCCCCTGGGTAAAAAATGTAAACGCAGTTCCCTTGGCACCAGCACGACCAGTTCTTCCTATCCTATGAACATAATCCTCAAGGCATGTAGGAAAATCATAATTGATTACAAATTTTATACCCTTCACATCTGCATACATAAAAATTAAAATTATAAATAAATTCAAAAGTGCCCGTCATGAAGACATTGACGAGAACTAAACTCCCTTCCTTATCCCTGCACTATCAGTGATTAAGTGTAATATAACGCACTCCGCATACACATTGTGCCCACCTTAACCTTGCAGGGATAAGGAGCAGCTCCACCATCATAACTCCCAAAATGAAATAATGAATCAGTAAATAATGTTGCAAGTCATCCGGGCTGTCACGACAATCAGCTTGTTAACCGTGTGGATGGGCAGCATTACCCGCAGGAATGTTTGGAATCTTAGGGACAATAACTGAAACCCATACAATTTCTGGGGAAAGTGAATCAAATTTAGGGAAATAAATAAATAAATTTTCAAAAATATATTCCATGGATAAACCTCTTGGTTCAGCACAGAACATTTACTCTAACCCCTTGTTCCTTGTCGCGCAGAGAAATGAACAAAAAAACAAATCTTGAAAGAATGAGCAATGACCTTTCACCAACACGACAAAGTCAATGAGACATTGTAGCCCAGTCTCCCAATCCAATGAAACTACAAGAATCATTATCGACAATGGTTTTGCTAGATGTAAGTAATATAGTATATTAGATTGGAAAGTTACAATCCCTTTGCTTCTTACTTTTTATGAGCTTTTGGGTAGAAAATGTAAGCAATGCATCGAGAGTCTAATGAAAAGAGTATGTTTAAACAAAGGTAAACTTGCGTCTTGACCACCAAGTCCCCAACAGAGTTGGGATTATACTGGAATTGTTGTTGACAAAGTCAATGACATAGTGAAGCCCAATTTCCACTCATATTTACTATACTCGTCTTTGGAAAATTTTCAATTTGGATTGAAAACATCTAATGCAATATAACGAAATTTTCTGATTCTACATCAAGGATGTGTTAGGGCAAAAGAGGAAAGGACAGATGGATGTTAGTAAGCTTTTCTGCTCACCAAAGCCAAAAACAAGTAACTCATATTGAATAACTCTAACCGATCCATCTTACACAATGGTGCTAAAAGAGTCTTTACAACATTTTAGCTTTAGGTATATAGTGCATAGTGGACTAATTCAAAAGAGCACAAAAAACTTGTCTTGATTCTTCTATGAAGTTTTGGGCAGTGAATGCAATACTGCATCAAGGGGCTAACGAAATAGCCTTTCTGTTTTAATCATACATCTGGACCCCCCCCCCCCCCCCCAAAAAAAATTGCACGAATCCTACTAAGATCATAAAAACTAGTAATGCCAACTGTAACAAAAGACAGTAATGAGAAAGTAGGAAATAGTCAAATAACTAATATACGAACAATCGTGTAGTCATGTACATCAAGGAATAGTGTTCTGCATCCCCACATCCCTCAAAGAATCGGGAAACAAGTTTGATGGTGTGAAAACAAGTGCAGCAGCCATCTAGAGTCTCCCAAGGGAATTCCTCAACGCGGGGAGACCCTCCCAAGCGACCATTAGCTGTACCCCTGTTAACGTGGGATTTAAGCACAGCGGTCAACTGTGGCATAACGCTAAAGCAAGTGGGAATGGACTCACAGCATGTGGAAACTGACCCCTTTGTGCTTGTTGAGCTTGGAATGTGAACATCATGATCTTCCATGCTGGTTGGAAGGTCTACTCTGTAGGCACTCCTTGCCAATGTATTACAAAATCTAGAATGACCCAAACAAGGGTGGGCGCTTATGGGAGTGACACTGTAGTACTAATGCTTGCACTAAGGTGTCAAGTTAACCTAAATCCATTAGCCAATTTCGTAACTAATGAAGTGGATGCGATTATAAGTCTGATCCATGCATGATTGAGCTAATTTGAGATGGTAGTGTGCATCACTGAGGATTTTATCTAGTCTTCAGTGTTGCATCTATTGCATCCATTTTAGCAAGGCAACGTTCAAGGAAGAGTAGATGTGTGGAGCCATGGAAAGCTTTCATAGAATAATGGAAAGTGGCAGTTCAAAGAATGGTATAGAAGGATGTATTATAGAAATTTCCATACATGCCAAAGATGGTACCGATCTACAGGGGTCATCTGTCATCATCACGAACTAAGCAACACAAATACATGCTAATGGTGTGTGAATCACCACCTTTTTCTGCTCGTCTGTTTGTGGCTGGTAGGATGAAGATTTACCTTGGAGCCCACTAAGAGTAAATAGTTCTTTCTAAAAGGAGATTGCGAAAATTGCATCAGTCACATTAGTTTCAGGGATGCCATTGAGTTTGAAAATATTAAAAAATAATAGTTGCCCCACTGAGGCAGCAGAAAAGGGATGGATCAATGCTATGAAATGAGAACACTTGGAGAGCCTAATAATGAAAAAATGAGCAATTTTTTCAATGACCTAGAGAAGGAAGGCCTTCAATGAAACCGTTCGATATAACAGACCAATATACACATTTATATGGATAAAGGTTGGATGGTTGGAGCTACCCGGGCACCCAGAAAAACTCATACTCTTCCACATATTCTGTTTGTGTATTGCACATTCTCCATTCGACCACAAAATCCCGCGTCTTGTTCTAGGCCAAGAGAAGTCACCCAAACGGTGAGTAGTTTTCTGAAAGCCCTTTTGATGGAAATCATGTATATGCAGTGTTTAAGAAATTAAGGTAGAGGTGGGAGAATCAAAAACTTGTTGCTGAGGAGAAAGAGTTCATCACACATCACCCAACAGGGTAACCTAAGGTTTTAAAGATAAGGCATGAAAACTGTGGAATGTTATATCTCGTAGTGGATGGTATCTAAAAGAGGTGAGCACACAATAGGAGAGTGATATTAAGATAGGGCATCTGCAATGGTATTCAATATGCATAGCTTGTACTCAACAATAAAGTCAAAACTCATTAATTAGCTGATGAAATGTTGTGATGAGGTAGTGAAGCATAAATGGAGATATCATTCCATACAAATGGTTGTTGGGGATGACGAAACTGTGACCCCACAAGTGATGGCGCCAATGGGGCTGCACGTGCTAAGCCTATCAATTTCCTTTCGAAGATTGGCAGTTTATGGTGTCTACGCACCAACTGATTGCCTAATGAGGGCAATCATGTTGCAAAACAGTGCCAACAACGGTTAAATCGGCTGAGAGTACTTCAGTCGAAGACAAGGCAAAAAAGGTAAGTTGCCCTCACTTTGCATTGACCGGTGATTGTGGCCTCAGGTGTGCAGGAAACAGGTTTTTTGTGAAGCATTTTGGCAAGCAGGCCTACTTAAAAGTCGTAGTCCTAAATGAAACATCTATAAAAACAAATGTCAACCAGGTAAATGCAGATTGAAGATAGCCCGACCACAAATAAAGCTTGGTGATGAATTGTGCCGCATGTAGTTGGTGCAATAGCTTGTCTATGACAGGGTTAAGGATTTCGTGTTTCAAGTTCGGGAACATTCAACTCAAATACTCAACAAAAAATGGGCACGTGCTATCTTGTTTATATGACAAAAAATGGGCACGTGTGATCACTTTTGGTGGTGAGGATAAATCGGTGATCATATGACCATGGCAGAGTAGGCAGATTGCTAAATTCTCGCAAGGCCCAGCACTTATTTGTCGGCTAATCCCCAATGGTTGGAGACAAGTAGGTAGTTGTATTTTAGGGCATGGGCAGTCTCTGAGTGAATCAATTTGTATCAGTAGCTGGAATCCACAAGTACTAACACTGGTTCCCAGCAATTGTGACTTTTATGTGCATCATACACCCAGTGCTTGGTCCCATGATGCCATGGAATGAGCTTTGTGCTACATTCTGGTCAGTGGGAAAAATCCTGTGCACAAATTATGGCTTCGCAGACAGTAGTGAGATGGACACATACTATATTGACGCAAAGGAGCTCGTCATGTCCTGCAGTAGAGAGGTCAACTTGATTATCCTCCAAGAGTCCCAGACATAGGATCTGTGTGCCAATGAGAGTTCAGGGAGTTTGAGTCGTAGGCATTGATGTGGTGTGACCACTTTTTTACGTTGGAAAAATCCCCAAAAGAAGTACAAAGTAGAATTCCTATAAGAATCTTGAGAGAATGCTGAAATTGCAGCCGTGTTAACAGGGGCGCGTCACACGTGACTTGATAGTACCACAGTTGGGCTTCACCATTGAGATGGAAAATCGCGGGATTGTGTTTGAGTACGGGCATTGTTTAAATAGTGCTCACAGAAATCTAACCAAAACAATGGGTGCTGTTCCAGCATAAAACACTGCTAGTCGGGGAGTCTATGGCAGTAACTTAGGTTGTAGATGTGTGGGTTGCTACAGCAACATTTTTGTAACGAGAAGGCAGCAAGAATATTATTAGATCCTCCAATCTTTAGCAGATTCAGGCAATGTTGATTTCTGAGAGAGTTGAACTTGTGTTAACCTTCTCTAGAATCTACTCATGAAATAATGTATTTGAGGTTCACACAAGCGAGAATAGTCTCGATTATTTTTACCCAAACCACAGAGTATAGCCTCAGGAAAGCAGAAAACAGCCGGAAACTCCTATGTAGGTAACTATCTTTACCCAAACCACAGCTTATAGCCACAAGGAAGAGAACAGCCGGAGACTTTTCTAGGTATTGTGTCAAGGACCTACAATCAAACACTAGTTACATTCCTAATTCTAAGCATTCACAACCCTACCAAGACCACGTGCAGCAACATCAGTGGCAATCATTATAGGACTTCTGCCGCTTCTAAATTCAGTCAAAACCCAGTCCCGTTCGTCCTGGTTTTTATCACCATGGATAGATAAAGCAGGCCATCCATCCATTCTTAATTGTCTCGTAATATGATCACACCCTTTCTTTGTCCCAACAAATATTAGAATTCTGCTTCCATCCATCACTTCTTTCAAAAGTCCACTTAACCTGCGTGCGTGTGCAATGGGAAATGCAATATATATGAAGAAAGATATTAAAAATCACAAAGCAGACCTCATCACTTTTTAGTAGATAAATGTGTAACCTTGAATATATCGAATAATACCTGTTATACTTCTCTAAATCTGAAACAACTTCAACGACTTGCTTTATAGATTGATTTGCTTTCAAATCTTGGGACCCAATGACTACCTAAAAGTTTAATGTCAGCCGAATAAAAGTTACCAATAGCAACACGAGCAAAGTAAAATAGTGAGTCAAAACCTTGCAAGGATCATGTAGAAACTGCTTTGCCAAAATTTCAACCTCCTTTGGCCATGTTGCACTCCAATACAATGTTTGTCTATCCGGCCGAATCTGCATTTATAGGACAATACTCCATACTTCAACCAAGTCCAGAAATTCAAAAAAAAAATATGTACATGAAACAGGTTTAAATATGTATGGTTTGTGTGTGTGTGAGTGTGCACATATCATAAGAGATGAAGCATTCAAAGCTGCTTATTGAATGTCTGATCATTATAAGGCTCACAATTACTGTCATTTAAAGAATTAGCCATTGGTAGCTTAGTTTATGATACCAGCTTTAGCCGGACAATCTATGCTCACTTTTGTTCAACAACATTAAATCTATTTCACATTGTCCATACTTGTTAATTGCTTCAGAGATTCTGGCACAGAAAATTCAGGCAATCAGGGGCGCACCATACGTGGCAACTCAAGCAAAAGTTGTGACTAAAAATCCTCATCAAATATCTCAACCCAATATGTTAAATTAAAATTGCCAGATCCGAAAACAAAAAGAGCAGGAAAGCACATTACTGACGCTTTTAGACAGGAACATTGAAAAGGGAAACGCGAAGGTTTACAAGGACATCCACGATCATCTAGGTTTTCAGGCACACTCACAAAAAGCTACGTAGATGCATTTTGGTCCAAATCTTCAATCAACCCCAAAGTCACAGTCATCAAACGCCTAGGAGTGTCAGACCCTGGTTGTAGCTTCAATCCCAGAATGTGTTGGAATTACAATGTGTCATCCCCTGTGGGTCTTTAGTTAGAGTGCTTGCTCAAAAATCTTGCTCATATGGAACACATGACAACCATAGTTGTCACGGCGCCAAGGCAAGGCACGGCACCAAGGTATCGCTATGACGCCTAGATGCCTAGGCGACAATTAGGCGACAAGTAATACTAATATATATAGTATTGTATATATTATATTATATTATATGTTTTTTTCAAAAATAAAAAATAAAAAATAGAATATGAAACACTAATAGAAGACATCTTTTAATTAAAGCAAATACATTGTAAAGCATAACACATACAAAGCTTTTTTAAGGAAAATACGAAGTAATCTTTTAAATAAAGAGAAGCTGAAAATACAACTCGTATGGGAAGAGTGCTGAGTTGCAGGGAATTCTGTCAAAACTAAAGGGCCGGGTTATCGGGTAGACTATCGCCTGGATAGTCCAGCTGTCTTTAGCATCTGAATTTCATTTCTCTGTATTCGCGATCCAAGAAGATCTTACGGTCTTAATCGTCGATCAGGCGAGTCGCCGAGATTCTTGATTTTCTTTGTGATTCAGATCGCAAACCCTTGGTTGATCTGCTGTATCATAAAATCGGATGATCCAGATCGCGGGTTTGACTACCATGTTCACGGTTCTAGTCAACCAAGGCGCTGCGCCTGGACGACAGTCGACAAGTCATCGGAAAATCGACGCCTAGGCGAGGAATTGAGAATTAGCCAAGTCGAATCACCAAGGCGAGATCAGGAGGGCACCTCGACGCCTAGGCGACATCATGATAACTATGATTACAACATTACAACAGGACCGTAAAGTTCACAACCCACTAGTATAGCTTTGCGACCGTTGCTAAGAACTTGTTGACATGCAAGCAAACAACTAGGAAAGTGACTGGTTTGTGAGTGGGTAAGAAATGGGAATAGGTAGGAGACCTGAAAAATGACTAAGCAGGAGTGGGGACAACCAATATGTCGTACCAGGTTGTCAAGGAAGCAAAGGAAGGGAAAATGATCGACGAGTGTGTGATCATCCAAAGCACGAAAGGAATGGGAAGCGACTTCAAAGAGTACTGAGGATAGAGATATATGCAAAAACAAAATATAATCAGAGGCTCAAAATTCAGTAGTAAAGGATCTTATCTAAGAGAAGAAAGTGGATGACAAGAAAATGGAGGTCTGATGGAGAGAGTAGCCTCCTGTTTAACTGTTTCCCTAAACAGATAATGCAGGTTGAAGCTCCCAGGGATTTCCAATCCACTTGCTGAGCAGAAAGATTAAAGGGAGCTTTCAACAAGTTTTAGAGTGCACTCCAGTGCAAGTGTTTTTTTAAATGGTAGCAGCCCGTACATCCATTTTGGTAATGAATTTTAGTGTTCTTTGAAATTGTCTTTTAAACTTTTGTTTTCAAGTTTGAATAAAAGTTTGTGTATAGAGTTGGACTTGCGTATCAGTGATCTCTAGTTCCAGATAGTGGTCATATCTTATTTATGGTGTTTAAGAATCTTGAAGAAGTCATTTGGTTTTGATTTGTAATGTTTGGTAAAGTCAAATTAGTCAGTTTTGTATTTTTAATAGTAAACGGCTAAAATTTTGTAGTTCTTCAAATTTCATAACTTGATATGTTGATGTAAGGTTTTCCATCACTTTGAGAGTGCTAGTGTGCTACACCCACTCAGGCCCCAAATTAGCTTTTAATCAGCTTTTTTCCACACTTATTAAGAAAATGAAATTATAGTTGAGATTTACTCTTGTTCTTTTAATCTGTTTAGCTTGTGACCAAATCACACGGTTTACACCAACGTATTAGAATGATAAACTAATCAAGATTTTAACAATTTATCAAAATCACCTCATCCAATGCCACCAATTCATGCATTTTCATTTTGGTAAAATGTAAATTGCAGAGTTTAATAAGATAAATCGGAAAAACTTATTTGATGTACATAGATTTCACGAATAAACAGATAAAAAAGGAACAAGGAAAACTTGTGAACCTATACACACAAATGGGAATAAAAAGATCATACAGAAAGGAAATGAGAAGATAATCACACAATATTTTCCTCAAAAGGAAATAAGAAGATAATTTGAGACCGATGAAAAACAAAAGCAAGAAACTAATTTGGGAGCGGATGAAGTAGTATATAAACAATAAAATTGTTATACACTGAAAAACATAAAATAATGATGATAATAATTGAAACAATAGTCATAATATGTTATCCATGCCTGGCCAACAATTTTTCTGATTTGAGGCTCAAATCCCATATCTAACATTCGATCCGCCTCATCCAGAACAAGATATGTCACCCTTTTTAAGTTTGTATGTTGAGCGTCTAGCATGTCTATTAGCCGACCAGGAGTCGCAATGATGATTTCAACTCCTGACATAATTTGAAACATTTTTGCTGATCACAAGTTATAC